AGAACGTGGACCATGATTACGTTTAATTAAGTTCAATTAACATAAAAATGAGCAACTTATTTTTAATCATATCTTACGGACCCCTTTATCACTAATGAAAAATGCATTTTAATAATTGGGAAAATGATATTGTATAAAGATGTAAATATATATTAATTGAGCTTATCTATTTCATTTTCAATATAGGGATGGAGCCATTTACTCCCAGGAAGAAATGTTCAACGTTAATAGAGTATTGATAAACAGAAATCATTACTGTTTACTTAAAGCTATATATGGCGTATCTGAGCTAAAAAATAAAAATACGAAATTGAGTATAGATGAAAATGATATTTGTTATTTACGTTCAAATTAAAATTTTCACCGATTTTGAACTTGAATAGCCCCGCGTTTCATTAGTTAAATTGACTTTAAACTGTCTGATATTTAAATTCGGAGTCGGTAAATAAATCGGTTATTGTTTTAAATTTCCAATATCCATGAAACGCAATTGATTTAAATTATGTAATTTACAGGGAAGTCTTATCTTTATATAAAGTAATAAAACAAATAGAAAGATCTTTTTAATTTTAGTTAGTCTGAACTTAACAAAAATACGCCATATATGACTTGGAAAACACACCCAAAATGAGTGTTAATTTAAGTTATTCTGGTCTTATAAATTCTTTGAATGCTTGAATTGATTACAAATTGAGTATTATACCGTAGATTTTAATTAATCTGATATTAGATCTAAGGAGCAGATCACTCTAAATGCATAAAGATCCAATAGAATTTGAACTCCTTCGTGTGCGTGTATAGAGAGTCCTTCACATATTTTACGTTAATAATCCACTGCGCCGTATATAACAGGCAATGCATACACGATTTCTCGTGAAAACTTAACCAGGACATTCCTGAGATTTTTTATAATGGTGAAAAGGTTAGGTCAAAGTTATTATTCTTTAAAAATGTATGAGTTTGCTTCAGAAACTAAATGATCTTCACAACATTCGGGTTCTTCCAGATAATACGGAATTCAGAATTACACGACTTCATTAGTGTCATCTAAATTTTATTTATTTGTGTTTGTATACTAAAAATTACCTACAAAATTACCTACAAAATTAATGATGACTTTGTTGCTGTTGTGACAAGTCAATAACTTTACAAAATAAAACAACACAATTCATCAGATTAATTAAGTTCACCAATTTTTTCTCTGTTTGACAAAGGTGCAATATAAAATTTAAATACAGGTGAGTAGTTTTTTCCCTAGTTTACCCCCGTAAAACTTCTATAATACACTGTAATAGCAATATCAAAATGACAAATAAACTTTCGAGCTGTTTTTTAACAGCGGTAAAACTTTCTTTACATTGAAATTATTCAATATCGAGACTCCTTAATTCTTTGTCATATAAAAACTTCCATTATCTCTTCTGCAATGAATGTGGATACAATGTACTAGTAAAAGATAGAAGTTTAAAACTTAAATTTTAAAATCGCATTTCAAAGGTCAAAGAACTTCAATACATTTGTACATTTGGATTACTGTTTGATATTTCCTCCAGAAAAAGAATCCTTGTACATTTACATGTATGACATCCTGAAGTAGAAGAAAAATTGATATCAATTGTCAAGGTTATAGTAAATGTCCCCTACTTAAAAGGCCAAGAACGTGAACTTAAATTTGTATTTTGTTTCTTTTTGGCTGAGTTTTACTATTGACTCAGTCAAACAAACGTGCATTCCTATGGCGTGTAAAACGTTGTATTATCATACTTTTTTTCATTCTTATTCAAAGAATTTATTATTCTTATTCTAAAACATATTCCTATTCGAAAAAAGTGATTTCTTTTCGATAATTTGTCATTTCTATTCGATAAATTGTTATTCCTATTGGATGAAATATGATTCCTATTCCAAAATATATTATTCATATTCAAAAACATGTGTTTCCTATTCCATAATTTTGTAATTCCTCTGCGATAATTTTGATTGCAACAAACTTGTATTCCTATTCGAAAACATATCACTCCTTTTCGAAAACATACGATTCCTATTCGATAATCTTGTTAAGATTATCGAATAGGGATTGTATGTTTTCGAATAGGAATGATATATTTTTCAATATTAATAACATCGAATATTATCGAATGGGAATTACAAAATTTTAGTTTCAATTTCAACAACCTCGTTTAAAGTCAACATTTCGTCAATTCTTTAGCCATTCTAATGAACTCGTTACCAAATATAACCTATCATTGGGTCATAATTTGACTGACATATTTCATACCAATTGTTAGGCCTTTGTTTTTTATACTAAATTTGACTACGGAACATCCCGTCTACCTGATCCAATACATAGGGCTCACGTAGGGTGTGACCGGTCGACAGGGGATGCTTACTCCTCCTAGGCACCTGATCCCACCTCTGGAATTTCCAAGGGTCGGTATTTTATGCCCTGTTCACAGATTTGTTTTTTTTTTATACCTCAGCTTGAAAAGCGGGGGTTGTAAAGTGATGGGTGTCCGTCCGTCTGTCTGTACGTTATCTTTGGGGGTACATATCTCTTATCCGCAACTCCTCTTATACCATGGAATAAAATTTAATGAGACTTTCACAGAATCTTTGTTATGTAGTGCCATTGTGACCTCCTTATTTAATTTTTTGATCAAACACATATTTCGGGTTTCCAATAGCAAAACATAGACACTGTCATTCTTTCTATAACATTGGGGAGTATCCATCTCTTATCATAAAAAAATGGAGGGAAAAGGTGAACTTAATGATGTCATATTTCTAAATTAATGGCATTTTAATCAAATTGAAAATTATGAATGAAGGTCACCTTTACTTTACTTTGCAAAATAAAGCTATATATAAAGTAAAATTAAGATATTCATTTTAAGGGGTCGTTTGATACACTTATTATATATTGCTCTTTTAGAACTCACCAGAATTTGAAAAGGCGCTTACACAGAAAAAAATTGAAATTTGAAATACAATTGGAAAAAATTTGCATTTTGAATAAAAATCCTTTTTTGTTTCTACGGATACAGTTAAAATTTGTACGATTACATTGAACCATTTTTATGCCCCCGGAATCGAAGACTCGGGGGCATATAGTTTTTGCCCTGTCCGTCCGTTCGTCTGTCTATTTGTCCGCAAAAACTTTAACCTTGCCTATGATTTTTGATTGGTTAGAGCTATATATGGCTTTCATATTTCACATGTGTATTCCTTGTGACAAGACCTTTCTTTGGGTACCATCATACTTGACCTTTTGACCTTGACCCAGTTTTACAAAATTTTAAGCAACTTTAACCTTGGCCATAACTTTTGAACAGTGGGTGCTGGGGCTTTCATACTTCACAAGTATATTTCTTGTGACGAGACCTTCCTTTGGATACCAACAACTTTGACCTTGGAGTTTGACCTCCTTTTGAAAAACTTTAACCTTGGCCATAACTTTTGAACAGTTGGTGTTGGGGCTTTCATACTTTACAAATACATTCCTTGTGACAAGACCTTCCTTTGAATACCAACAACTTTGACCTTGACCTTGGAGTTTGACCTACTTTTAAAAACCTTAACCTTGGTCATAATTTTGGAACGGTTGATATTACATTGTATGACTTTTCTTTAGATACCAACAATTTCGGCCCATTGACCTTGATTTTTGACTTACTCTTGAAAATCCTTCTCCATATCTTTTCAATGGTTGGTGCTACGGCTTTCATATATCACAGGTATATTCCTTCAGACAAGACCTTACTTTTGGTACCAACATTTTTTATCTCTTAATCTGGAGTTTGACTTGCATTTGAGAAAGTTTAACATTTGCTACAAGCTGCCATATGGGGGCATCAGTGTTTCACAAACACATCTTTTTTTTTTTTTTTTTTTTTGAGAAACCAGTTTAAAAGAATAAGATTTTAATGCTTTAATAAAAATTGTTGGATGATTATTGAAAAAAAAAAAAAGATTTAAAATTTTAATTTCTATTTTCATACTTTCTATGTTTCAATGGAACTGGTCACCATTTTGAAGAAGGCACACTTGTTACAATGTCCCCCCTCCCCCTCATATATACGAACAGTCATGGTATTTTATGGGGGAAAATTGGCTCTGGGGGAAATCGCACTCCCCTAACTATTACAGAGTAACATTTCCCCAGGAAAATTGAATCTGGTGTGGGATTTCCATGGGTGAAATCCTACTCTAGTCACTTTTCCGTGGGTGAAATCCTACTCTACTTTCCGGGAGGAAATTCCTACTCTACAGCCATTTTTCTGGGGGAAAGCCTACTCTACAAGACCGGTATCATAGAAAACAGTGTCCTCACCAAATTGTTAGCAATTCAAGTGAATCTCTCGATATTCAGGTAAGTGTTAAGGCCAATGACACTCTTGTTGCTAGTTCTCCCTGTCCCAACAGTATAATAGAAAGGAATCCCCTATTTCCAATACTACTTTATGGCAAGTTTTGTTCAACCTGGCCTCTGTTTAGCAGAACTGGAAAATTTACCAAGACAAGCTTTAATCAGAAATAGCTCACATGACCCCTAACCTATGTCAAGCAGATAATTAAATTTGGCAGTTTTATTGAATGGTCCTTGAGCTCTAAATTTATAAATTATTTTCTTTCCATCTACAAAGCTAAAATAGAATGGAAAGACAAAGTCTTTCATGTTAACAGTTATGACTTTGTATCTGAAAGAAAGAACACACCAGCTCAACTCTCTACTTAGTTGTTAATAGTTTACTTCAATCAAAATCTCTTCTCAGTTAATCAATGGTATTTTTTAAGTTTAAAATTAGATAATCATTAAAAGTAAACATCTCTGATTTTGCATGGTAATGGTTCAAAGAGATCTCAACAGTTAATTGCAAAAGTACATCTCACCAAGTAAAAGTTATAACCAGAGTAAAAGAACAGCACTAAAGCAAGGTTCTTCACATATCAAGTACTGTCATTTGCTGCCTCCAATGTTTATCATTGCACAAAATTTATGCCAGGAGCCCTGAACCATCTCAATAATTAATTTGTATCAGCCTTTCTCTTTCTTTGGCTCTTTTCTGGTGATCTTGAGTACAAAACCTCTTCTGGAATTGGAAAAACAAGAGGCCCATGGGCCACATCGCTCACCTGAGCACAGTGGATATAGGCAAAAGCACAAATCAGTTCAGTATTGAAAAGATTCTGGGGGGGGGGGGGGCTTGAATTTTAAACTACCTGATGATGCTTCCATGTCAAAATAACAAATGGCTTTGTTGTACTTGAGAAGATTTTAAAAAAATTTCTGATATATTCCTTTGTAAAAATTTGATCCCCCCTTGTGGCTCCTCCCTATCCCAGGGGTCATCATTTGAACAAACTGGAATCTACACTACCTGAGGATGCTTCCATATCAATATGACTAAACATAGCTTTTCTGTTCTTGAGAAGAAATATTTTTTCTATATGTTCTTATGTAACATTCAATCCTCCATTGTGGCCCCGTCCTACTCTCGGGGGTCATCATTTGAACAAACTTGAATCTACACTACCTGAAGATGCCTCCATATCAATATGACTAAACATAGCTTTTCTGTTCTTGAGAAGAAATATTTTTTCTATGTGTTCTTATGTAAAACTTTCTATCCCCCTATTGGGCCCCACCCTACCCTCGGGGGTCATCATTTGAACAAAATTGAATTTACACTACCTGATGATGCTTCCATATCAAAATGACTAATCATGGCTTTGCAGTTCTTCATCAGAAGAAATCTTCCTATATATTTCTATTTCAGACTTTGATCCTCCATTGTGGCCCCACCCAACCCCAGGGGGGCAACATTTGAACAAACTTGAATCTACACTACCTGAGTATACTTCCACATAAATATGATCAATCAGGGCTTTGCTGTTCTTGAGAAGAAGATTTTTAAAGATTTTTCCTATATATCTCTATGTAAAACTTTTATCCTCCTTTGGGGCCCCACCCTACCCCCAGGGGTCATGTTTGGACACACTTAAATCTATACTACCTTAGGATGCTTCCATATCAATATGATCAATTAGGGCTTTGCTGTTATTGAGAAGAAGATTTTTAAAGATTTTTCCTATATATTTCTATGTAAAACTTTGATCCTCCATTGTGGCCCCGCCCTACCCCCGGGGGTCATGATTTGAACAAACTTGAATCTACACTACCTGAGGATGCTTCCATATAAATATGACCAATGATGGCTTTGCTGTTCTTGAGAAGAAGATTTTTAAAGGTTTTTCCCATATATTTCTATGTAAAACTTTGATCCTCCATTGTGGACCCGCCCTACCCCCGGGGGTCATGATTTGAACAAACTTGAATTTACACTACCTGAGGATGCTTCCATATAAATATGACTCATCATGGCTTTGCTGTTCTTGAGAAGAAGATTTTTAAAGGTTTTTCCCATATATTTCTATGTAAAACTTTGATCCTCCATTGTGGCCCCGCCCTACCCCCGGGGGTCATGATTTGAACAAACTTGAATCTACACTACCTGAGGATGCTTCCATATAAATATGACTCATCATGGCTTTGCTGTTCTTGAGAAGAAGATTTTTAAAGGTTTTTCCCCATATATTTCTATGTAAAACTTTGATCCTCCATTGTGGCCCCGCCCTACCCCCGGGGGTCATGATTTGAACAAATTTGAATCTACACTACCTGAGGATGCTTCCACATGAGTTTCATCTTCCCTGGCTTTGTGGTTCTTGAGAAGAAGATTTTTAAAAGATGCTATTAATTTTTCACTAATTCTTTATTATCTCCCCTTGAAAGAGGGCGTGGCCCTTCATTTGAACAAACTTGAATCCCCTTCACCCAAGGATACTTTGTGGCAAGTTTGGTTGAAATTGGCCCAGTGGTTCTTGAGAAGAAGTCGAAAATGTGAAAAGTTTACAGACAGACGGACGGACAGACGGACTACAGACAAAATGTGATCAGAAAAGCTCACTTGAGCCTTCGGCTCAGGTGAGCTAAAAAGTTACCATCTTACAGTAAAACTCATTTAGTATGAACACAGATATAGCAAATTAATGGATAAAGCAAATTATTTTGTTTGGATCCCCAGAAAAATTCTTAATAATTCCTAGTATAATTTTATGGTTACAATGAACTCAGATATAATGATATTAGGAATTTAGTGAATTGTGTCTCACAGAGATACATGTATAAAATAACAAAAATAAACATCTTTTTTTATGAAATTTTCAAGATCACAAAGTTTAAGATATTGAACTGACATTATATTTAGTGAATATCCATTTATTTATATTTGAAATTTAATTCACCAGAAAACGTTAGTATCACAGATAAGTTTTGTTTCTAAAACTTCCCTGAAAATATTTATCAGTCATACCTGAAGTTGTATTGTGAATTCGCTTTAAATTCTTAAATGAATTTGCTATACAGATTTAATGAATTACTGATATAGAGTAAAGAAATTCACAGGTCTCCAAAACTTTGCTATGACTGAGTTTTACTGTACAAGTGTAGTAACCATTTGAGTGCCTATAAGCGTTTATATTCCCGGTACTGTAATATTAGAACACTTGATGCTCAATTCATATTAGCTTCTCGTTAGTAAATTAGTAATATATTACTTTGAAATCTTAATTCAACTGAATAAAAAGATTTTAAAGCAGTACAACCTTTTCTTGGACTCCTTGGAGTCCTTCTGATTTCATGGGGCCAGGGTTTTTTACAGCTTTGCTTGGGACATTTAGGATTTTCTTCTCTCTCAAACAATTTGCTTGAACAGTGGAAATGAAGCTTTGTGCCACAGAATGGACAAGTCTGTCCCTGTAAAATAAAAGGGAAGTTTTTTAGAATTACTTAATCCATGAGTGAAATAAGAAGTGACAAATATCTGTCTCGAGAATAATTTCTACCTTTTAAGATAACAGTTCTGAAAACATTAGAATAAATAGATTCTAGCCAACAAGGAAATAAAATGACGCTCAAAAGATTTTTTGATGTTAACCTGTAGAACTAAATCTAACTTAATGTTAGGCCACACCAATTTAATTTCTTGTTCATTAGACATTTGATGAAAAAAGTACGAGCGGGCAAGCAGTTGAATAATAATATTATAACTTTTTTGTAGGCAAAATTTTTAAGCGGAGCATGAAAAAATTTGAGCGGACAATTATATTTTTTCTGATTGGCAGAGTAAGCAGATTTAAAATATGAAAAATAGAGCAGAAATGGAATAGAAAATTGCACAGAATTTCCATGGTGCGGGAAATTGAAATTAATATTATTTGTATAGTTTTGTTTAAATACGAGAGCTCGGGTCCAATGAACAAAAAATTTTATTGGTGTGGCCTTATATTTAACTTTCTCATGTCAAAACTTTTCAATATTTATCATCTTTGAAGCTAGTGCCACAGAACAAAGAAACCAAGTATATTACATACTTTTATATTACCCAGATTTTTTATGCTCTCTGATAAGGCTTAATAGGCTTGCAGGGTGATATTTCTGAAATTTCTTGATACTGAATGTTACTTAAAACACATTGCATCTGGGTAAAACATTCTAATTTCTTAACTACTGAATAGTGACTTAAATCAGAGTTTGACAAGAATAACTTTATCATTTTGACTATGAGTCAATTTTATATTTAAAGCAAAGTGTTAATGCATTCCAATCACAGAATACATAAATTTCGAGGACTCACCTTCAGACAGAGTTTCTTACAAATATTGCATTTTTCCACATCCTCGTACATCTGTTCTATATACCGGTCCAGTTCAAGGAGGGATCTGGTTGCTAGACTAATCTTTCCCCGGGACTGAAATAAATATATGATTGGTGGCAACAATCTCCTTGAAAAGCATGATTCAAATTTTCAATATTGTACAGCAAAAATTTCTCTTCTGAGTTATGTGCACAATTTCAAAATGTCTCAAATTTATTTACTCAAGGATTAAATGGTAATGGTAAACTGTGTTCGCTTATAAAACATGCTTATAGCGAACACGCTTATAATGAATTGATGCCTACAGTGCATTAATTTTCATTTCCCATGGCTTGAAATTAAATAGTCTGTCCCTGCCATTTTGTTATAAGCTTGTTTTACTGTATATAAATCAAAATAAACCATTTTTATCCATTTATTTGTTTCCAGCCGAGACAGCAGGTCCTCAGCATCATCTTTGGAGAGTTTTTTAACATTTTCCAGACGACTAACAAGATTTAAGGCTTCTGTTGACCCTACTTCAGCATCTTCAGATGCCACAATAATTTCTATCTAAAAATAAATTTGACAAGACATATTGTTAATAACATATGTTTGTAAAACTCAGTCTTAATTAAAACACAAGAGATTCAAGGTGATAATTCATCTCAACCACCCAAGCAGTGCATAATCATTTGTATGCATCTGTGATTAAGTATTTCAACAAAATAGCATGGCCAGATTGCAACTTAGTGTATAGTTACTGTACTTACCAGTTTCTTAAAGAATTCCAGTTCACTAGGTGTATAGTCAGATGCCAACTTTGTTATTGCAGACTCTGTTGTACAGACCTGTATTATCAAAATATCTTTTTTTAAAAAAACTAGAAATATGTCCATAGGACATTAATGCCCCGTTGAGGGTATATTAGAAATGCAACATTTTAACACAAATTGAGAAAAGTGAGGTCAAAGGTCAAAGGAATGGTCAAGGTGAAAAAAATATTGATGCAGTTGAATAGCTTACATCAGTATGTATCAGCATATGAAGTTTGTTAAAAATATCTTGAATGGTATCTTTAAAACTGAGCTAAAAACTTGTTTAAGAAAAGTGAGGTCAAGGTCAAAGGAAAGGCCAAGGTAAAAAATATTGATGCAGTTGAATAGCTCTCATCGGTATGTATCAGCATATGAAGTTTGTTAAAAATATCTTGAATGGTTTCATTAAAACTGAGCTAAACACTAATTTAAGAAAAGTGAGGTCAAGGTCAAAGGAAAGGTCAAGGTCAAAAAATGTTGATGCAGTTGAATAGCTTACATCAGGATGTATCAACATACGAAGTAGGATTACACTATCTTGAATGGTATCTTTAAAACTGAGCTAAACACTAATTTAAGAAAAGTGGGGTCAAGGTCAAAAGAAAGGTCAAGGTCAAAAAATGTTGATGCAGTTGAATTGCTTACATCAGTATGTATCAACATATGAAGTTTGATTACACTATCTTGAATGGTATCTTTAAAACTGAGCTAAACACTAATTTAAGAAAAGTGAGGTCAAGGTCAAAGGAAAGGTCAACGCCAAAAAATGTTGATGCAGTTGCATAGCTCTCATCAATATCTATCAGCATATGAAGTTTGATAAAAATATTTGGGATAGTTTCTTTGAAACTGAGCTTTGAACAGAGCTAAACGCAAAGTGTGACGGATGGACAGATGGAAGGACAGAAGGACGGAAGACGGACAAGACAAACACTATATGCCCCGGCCATATTCATGGCGGGGCATAACAATATCATTTTAAAAAAAGATATTCTTCATTTCTCCAAATTAAATAAGGCCTATCAATTTGTCAAACTCAGCACCTGCTGAAGTTTGATTTCTATGAAGCAATGTCCTCTTCAGAGATATTCATAGGAAAACATTTGAAGCATATATTAAGCAGAGAACCTAATGACATTTAACTTAAAACTTTTTGGTTTAAACTTGTGCCTGTAAAGTGATTCTAAAAGACTATTGATACATAATATTTGTTCATTTTGTTGCATGTATTGCAGAAAACCACGAGGTTTTTGATTTAGAATAAAAATCAAGGTCAAATTTTATGTTAAAACATGCTTTTAAAGTGAAAGATTTTAAAGACAATAGAATAGATAGCGGCTTGGCCAAGATCAGGTGCCCATGTTGGTTGCAGATTAACAAAAAAATGAAGTCAAATGAAATGTATTACAAGTATGTTCTATGTAACACTACATCCTTTTGGCAGATTGTATGAAATTTCTGTCCATTTCTGTCAAGCAGTTAAAAAGATTTCACTCTTACTATAGCAGAGACCCAAGTGGGCTACGGACTATACATATTCAGGCATAACATTTATCTTTATCATATTCAACTGAACGAAAAGGCATAATTCTAATACAAACTCTTCATAAAGTATTGTCTGAGCAAAAAAATCACATAATTTATTTCCATTTAAATGTTAGAGTATATAAAGGACATGGGTAAATTTGTTAATGTTTGAGTGTTTTTCTACTCTTAATATTTGGACATTTGAAATAAAAATACATTAAAGTACTTTCAATTTTTCTATAAATACTGTATATGGGGATGAAAATTTCAAACTTATTTGGTAATACTCAGAGATAAACTGTGTCAGATATTTTTTGATTGACTATTTTGAGACCTTGGGCTACGGACTATACCTAGAGTATTTTCATTTAATGAGAGAGCATAGAAAAATAGTTGCTTGTATCAGTAAATATATGTTAAAATTATCGTCTTGGAGTTCGCACTTGTTTAATAAATCCTTTCATTTGGATATTAAATCAATTTATACAAAATCCTGTGAAATTTAACAAAATAAAACAAAAACTTTATACAAATTCACAATATGAGTAAAATATAAATTGTCAGAACAAAATAATACATGTCAGAATTACATGTAATTGGTGTTTTGATAACAAAATATTGTTTAAAACCATCCGAAAAACCAAGAATGAGCTTCAATTTAGCATCTAAGAAGGATGAATTTCATCTGAGCACGGGGGCTATGGACTACACCGTTAAACATCTCTACTGTTGACAATCAATTAACTTAAAGAAAATATAATTGTATAATTAAATTTTGGGTAATTCTTTTATTAATTCAAATTGGTTTTCTATAACAGTTCACGCCACTTAGTTTGAGTATTTATAATACCATACTTAAAATATCAATTGTCTAATGGTCTAATGTACTTTCAATGCCAAATGAAAATCCAGTTCAACTAATTAAAGCATTATTGGTGTTCAAACTGTAATGAATAAAAGCAACAGGAGCTGTAATTAAATCAGGGCATGATTTTTTTTTCGGGGTGGGGTGGGGGGGGTTTACGGACTATATTGCTTCATTTTTTTTTTTTTCAATTTAATGTAATGCATATAACTCAAGATGGTCATTCAACAGGTGTATCAGTATATGATTTATCATAATCATATGGTGTAATTCAAAAAAAAAAAAATTACAAAACATGATTGACCATTTGAATTATGAAATGCAAAAATACAATATTTATCCATAAAGAATGATTTTTTTTTTTTTAAATTAACAATTCAGTGACAAGTAGATTGGGTGGCGCAATTATAAGAGTGAAGGTCTCACTTTGTACTAAATTTTAAAGTAAGGAGTTGATCCTTATGTTTTGGGATCAAATCCCACAAATCCCACAATGGGATGTTAAGACGGGTCGATGAGAACTAATAAACCATTGAAGCCCTATTTTGCAGTAGATACAAGTAGGAAAAAAATCTCTTGCTAATACGAAGTACGGTTATACAGTCTGTATATTTGCTAAATTTATTTGCAGAGTCCGTAGCCCTTTTGTAAGTAGGATTGCTGTGGCTAAATATTCTTTTAAAAATATTCCAATGCTAATTATTCTAAATGGATTGATAGTATGTATCACAAGAAGGAAAACTTTATCATGTATATTTAGAAATATGTTGTGACCACAAACATAACAGGACAGACTACAGAAGCAAGCCTTTAGTTGAAAAATGTTAATTTTCACATATTTTATCTTTAATTACAGTGGTATTTGTATTTAAAACATTGCATTTGTTCGAATAAACATATTTTTATATTGTAGCTATTGTATCAATAATGTATATGACTTTTTCTGGAAGTTATTATATTAGGGCTACGGACTATACAGGGCTACGGACACCAATCATTCTTCTATAACTTCTTTTAGTGTTGTCGCAAAAGCTATTCATTACTGTTTTTCACTTTACTGGTAACTGTGAAAATATTAAACAAGAGCATGATTAATTCTACATTCTTTTGTTGAACACAAGCTATAATGAAATATGGGGCTACAGACTATACACAATATTAGACCAGTATGGAAAATAAAATACAAAATGCGCACACATTTTACAATATAACCACTATATTTTTCTCATAGTACTTTTTTCTTAAGTAAAATAAAAACTTTTAAACACATTTTATTTGCTCTTTTTTTTTGCTAGAAATTATGCATTTATTCAAACATTGAAAAATCTTAAATTATATAACAAAGGTATATCTGCACACATTTATTCATAATTTCCACAATTTTTATCCTTTTTCTTTTCTGTAAAAAATAAACTTATTAAATAAATATGCTTTATTATAGAGAAATCATTCTGGTTTAACCAGAATGATTTCTCTATAATAAAGCATATTTATTTTGGAATGTTTCATTCAAAATAATTTTAATTAACCATTATTTAAAGTGTAAAAAATCAAGTGCAACAGCATAACGCTTCAAAAATTATGAATTTTTGACTTTATTCTGTTGTTTTTTCAAAAATGCAGATACTATATATATGATATCATATACCAATGGAAAGCTCTCCTTCTGATCTTTGCAATGCAATAAAAGACATTTAGATTAGATGTAACTAGAAAGAGTTACATCTATATAACATGATTTAGTTGGAAATGGGCACCTGATCTTGGCCAAGCCAATAGGTAAAATTTGTTGTTGGGCCACACCCTCTTCCAAGGAGAGATAATTTAGAACAAGAGGCCAATGGGCCACAACATTCACAAGAGTAACTTTGGCCCTGCTGTTCTTCACTAGATTTTCTAACCTTGTAATATTGTGGCCCCATCCCCCCCCCCCCCCCTCCTGGGCTATGATTTGAACAGTTTAGAATCTCCACTAACCTCAGGAGGCTCCCACATAAGTTTCACCTTTTCTAGCTCAGTAGTTATTGAGAACATTTGAAAGATTTTTCCTATATATTTCAATGTAAAAAAAATTTGATTTCCCTATTGTGGCCATGGTTTAAACAATTTAGAATCTACACCACCCTAGGAAGCTTCCACATAAGTTTCAGCTTTTCTGGTCAAGTGGTTCTAGAGAAGAAGATTTTTAAATATTTCCCTATATATTTCAATGTAAAACTTTGATTTCCAATTGTGGACCCACCCTAGCCCCAAGGTCCATGATTTGAACAATTTACAATCTACATTACCCTAGGAAGCCTCCAATAACTTTCAGCTTTACTGGCCCAGTGGTTCTTGCGAAGATTTTTTAATGACCCCCACCCTATTTTTGTCTTTTCTTGATTATCTCCCCTTGGAAGGGAAATTGGCCCTTCATTTTAACAATTTAAACTCCCCTTTACCCAAGGATGCTTTGTACCAACTTTGGTTAAATTTTAAAATTGGCCAAGTGGTTCTTGAGAAGAAGTTGAAAATGTGAAAAGTTTACAGATGGATGGATGGACAGACAGACAACTGGTGATCAGAAAATCTCACTTGAGCTTTCAGCTCTGGTGAGCTAAAAATTAAACAACTCCAATAATGATAAATTTTGATCAGAAAAGTGTTTCATCTTTTTTACTAGATTAAAGGTTTCCTATTTGATTACCAATCCATATGAACTTGTCCCATCATCTTCACTGATACCCTTGCGTATCTGCATGTGTAAAGGCCCTATGTGGTGATTTACAGTTCTTACAAACTCCAGTAGTGGACCTTGAGCTTCTTTCTCATTTTCTGGATATGGCACTGCAAAATAAAACAAATGAAAGTTATCATGATTATTCATATCTCAGAGAATCTTCCCATCATGAATCATTTGGGAATAATTATGCATAATATTAATAACAAAGGTGTATAAATTCAACATATAATGTCAGAGTTAGACACAAACTTAAGGAGCTTAGATTAAATAAATTAAACTGTGTCTTGGGACAAGCCTTCATCACAGTTACAATATGTCCAATATAATTGCAATATGCAGCAAACTGGACCGGATCTGCTCTGGCAGAATTTTGGAGAATTCATAAAGATCGAATTACACTGAAAAAAGTTAACCACCAAATTAATCATATCCAACTTTTTTTGAAATTGTCTATGCCTTCAACCCATCAAAATAATTATGTATAGGGAAAAAAAAAATAGAAGACATTCGAGTTCTGCTCAACACCCTAAAAATCAACACATTTTCTAAATGTTTTTTTCTTTTATCAAATTTACTATGTTGATAATCAGATCTCTCTGAATTTTTCGTAGTATACACTTTGATTTGAATTACCTGTCCTTGTTTATTTTGCTGCACTGCAAACACATGAAACGAAATTGATCATTAAAGTAAACCATGTCCATAGGACGTACAATATACTGTATTAAAATGTTCTATCTACCAGATATATTCTGATCTGCTGGTTACAGACCCTTTTACTTTTCTTTTCATATCAATCTCATTTTATTAAATAAATAATTTTAATGTCATGATGGACTAAGACTGGTCAGAGGTGTTTTTTCCGCATGATAGATAAACAAAACTCTAGTATTTACAATTGTATTTCAGACAGCATATCTTGAACAGCTGTTTAACTTCTTTAGCATTTAGGATTCCTCTCGACATAAATGACTGTAGAAATAGACGATGTCCGTCATTCAACTGGGGCTGTGACATCGTATCGGATAAAGCTGGAAAAAAACAAAGAAATGATTGAACAACATCGAGGAAATTCGAGATTAGTAGAAATCTAAGACTTTCAAAATTCGACCAACCACACAAGTTTGAATACTTCATAATAAAAAGATAACATAAATTAAATTAGACTAATAGGCATACACGTGTTTCAAATATACATTGGGTCTACCTCAGCTGAATCGCATCCTTTCCCGCCCTTTGTCAAAAATAAAATTGTAATCTCTAAAAATAATTTCACTGTCTCAACACCGGTTAATTCATTAAAAGTAACCAGCAAAATTGAGTTTCCGTCCTTTTAATCATTTCAAAGTATTTTCACTTTTTATTGCTTTCTTATTCTTTGTTAAGTAGTTAAAAATCTTTCGATGTAAATATTCGTAGAGGATAAGTTTTAAAGAGTGCGGGACGGTTCGCCCCGAAAGACCATTCGCGCTCAGACGTTTCGCCCCAAGACGGTTCGCGCCGAAGATCAATTAATCAATTATGTGGTAATTATCACTTGTTAACAGCAAATTATAGTTATAACACCTTAATTACAAAACTGAATCAGACAATTATGATTGCTGAATAAATATAATTATATCTGCACATGGATAATTATACATTTAATTATGGTATAAGCCTATTTTCAACAACTTTTAAGACATAAAAGTATTTTAATAACCTTAGAACTTTTTTTTAACAGTCAATATTAACCTTATATATAAATATTTATCTTAAAACATCGTAATATATGGTTGTAGACAATGTAGATTAAATTGGGCGCGAAAGGTCTCGGCGCGAAACGTCTATAGGGGCGAATGGTCTCGGCGCGAAACGTCAATAGGGGCGAAACGTCCCGTTACCGTTTTAAAGATGGCGACCACCAGACACGTGAAAATAAATTCGGGTTGGAAGAACTTTGAAATTTCACCAGATTTACTCTCTGATAGAGCATTTGAGTCTTTAATCAGCTGTAAAGTAATAACAGATTATGAAATAATTGACCCTAAAAAGAGGAAAAGGAAAAAGACAAATGAAAACGTAAGAAAATGTATTCCAATATTAAAGGGAGGTAATTATACTATGTGTTGACATATCCATGTGCTTCTTCCTAAACATGCTAAACGTCTTTTGAAGTGTGTATTTTAAAATTTTCAATCAAAGTAAATTTAAGGGGTATAGAATGTGTAAACTTGTCTTACTGTTTCATATAAATTAATGGAAAAACGAAATACGCTTTTTGCAGTATTGCTTCAGATAGAATGTTAAACAGAGTGGCAATGTAGGCAGTATACGAACATTTGTTCAAACTTTAAGGGACAAGGAAATTCATGTTAATTCTCATTTTTCTTTCTTGTTTACTGCTACATTTACATATAGCAATGTTTTGTGGGGCTTGAACTGGCCAGACAGATTTGTTTGCTTGATGCCATATTTATAGGAAAATACAGACCTGTATAAATGTCCACCAGGAATAACCAAGATTGGTTTGATTTATTAATTGCTTTTATTTAGTTGATCATTCATTACATTAAATTCCTTAGAAATAGGGTTTGATTGTGCTGTAGGCACTGAGCACACTGAGCATGTATATACACTTATCTTCTTGGTGTAAAAGTATTTAGCTGTAGATATTTTATAATTATCTGCATTTCATTCATTCAAGGAGTCGGGCAAAGTCAAGGAAAGCAAAATTCAAGACAAAGTAGTGATAAAGAAGACATCAAGAAATAAGAATTCCTCCAAAAGTGGAAAAGATTGTAAAACAAGCTCTTCCAGTGAAATTGATGTTTCCTCAGAACTATTGAAATTAGACAACAAAGAACACTCAGTCACAGAAAGCTCAAAAGAAAGATCAACTACAAAGAAAAAACAAAAATTGAAAACACACAAAAAGTTAGATTCTTGGACAGTGACATCTCAATCAATTGATACAGAATTAACAAAACAAAATACTAATAAGAAAGAGAAACAAAAACTAGAAAAATCTAAGGAAACTTTAAAAAATGAGGCAATAAAATCAAGTGAATCCAAGGCAAGTACTGAAGAAATGAAGACAAAGAAGAAAAAAAGAAAAAGATCAAAAAATGAAAAATCTGGTGAATATATATATATTTATGAATTCTTCATGATACTTTTATTCAGGAATATATTTACAGTAAAATTAATTTTTTTAATTTTTTTTTTTAATTTAAGACAGACTTAGTTTTAACAGCATATGAAGAAAATGTCAAGATTGTCATTAAAATTTATTTTCTGTAGTGGAAAGTTACTCAAGTGAAAGAAAAAGAATGAAGATGATGGAAGATTCTGATGGAGATCAAACTGATGTTGTGGACAATGATAAGTTGATTGGTAACATATGTGTACTTATTTAACACATTTTCTTAGCCAAAGTTTATCAACCAGGTAATTGAATATAAGTATAAAAGCACATGGCAACCACTAGTCACATGAAACTGAATTTTGGTTCAATGGATAAACTTTGAAATTTTCTGATTTATGTCTTATAAAGCATCTTAGTCTGTAATTGGCTATATCTCTGTATAATATGGGTTTCTTTAATGCAGATAAAATTTTTGTATTCACAAAAACAGTGACATCTTAGAGCAAAAGGAAATTTAATCGGGGAGTGGGGTGTCTTGGGCTAAGATTGATAGTGGTTGTTTGTGGGTTTTTCTTCTTTTTTTGTTTTGTTATGAGAGTGTTAGTTCACATATTTTACAGAGAAAATGGCAGCGTGGAAAAATTTCTTTGTACCCAAAAAGGTGCTTCAAGCTTTGTATAGAAATAAATTCTTCTCTCCTACTCCAATCCAAGCCATGACCCTCCCCAGTGCCATTAGGGACAAAAAAGATATAGTAGGAGCAGCTGAAACCGTAAGAATTCATTTTTATTTTGCAGTATTTTTTTCTCCATGTAAAAGAAGGATTGACCTACTTTCTTTTCACAGATAATTTGAAATTTGAATCTGCATTTTTTTTTTGGTTGGTACAATTTGATAGGGGAGTGGAAAAACTCTAGCTTTTGGAATTCCAGTTATTCACAACATTCTTGCACACAAAGAAAAAGAGGCTAAAAGTAACACTTCAGTAGGAGAAACCAGTGATGTTGTCTTTGATACTGATGATGATGATGATGATGAAGGGAAAGAAAAGGTAAGAGGATTAGATGAGGATGAAGACAAGTCACATGATGATGATAAAGAGATAGAAGAGTTATTTGAGGATGAGGATGATGATGAAGAAGTAGAAGAGTTATTTGAGGATGAGGACATTTCAGAGGATGAAGATGCAGAAGATGATGCTGAAAATAAAGATTCAGAACAGGTATAATATATGGTACATGGTACAGTGTTAAAGTAAGTCACAGGTATGTTTCTATGTTGCAATATTCACAGGTACTTGTGGACAGGACCTCCCCCCCCCCCCCCCCCCCCCCCGAATATACCCCACAGGTCAAAAAATATTTTTATGTATTTTTTTCATAAATTATTCTTCTAGTACACATTTACAATGTATTCCATAAGAAAAATCCAAAAAATAATGCAGAATTAACGTTTTACTAAAAAATCATACCCGCGGTATTATAAAATAGAGAAGGTAAGTCACTTCCATTTGTGTACACTTGACCCCTCTTGGATATCAGGCCCGAAATATCATTTACCTAATACATGTCACTAAAATGTGTAATGATATCTTGTCTCAGTAGATATTTTTGTCTTTAATCGTGCTATTTAATTGCCCAGGCATTCCATAATAATCCGAGTATTCATTGTCAAACGTGAAAAATGCTACAAGATTTGGAAATGTCAAAGTAGAAATTACGGAAGTGATGCAAAAATGACACCTAGCGTGTAACTCGCGAGTTCTGAGTGTTATAGAACTAAGGGAAAAGTCAGAGGTCTATGAAAAAGTTCGGGAAAATTTTGATAAAGAAGTCGAAATTGATTCATTAGAATTAAATTCTGCTAAAGATTTTCGAGATGAGCGAGGGTAGTCGTCAATATTCCCTTTAAAGGATGTTATCACTGATACCAAATAGCAGTTTAAAAATCGCTTAAACATTATAATCTTGACATGTAACCCCCCCCCCCACTCCACCTCGGCCGCCTTCCCCTTCTGCGTGGACAATATTATGACCTGTGGGGTATATTGGGGGGGGGGGGTCCTATCCACAAGTACCTGTGGCAATATTTAGCTTTTCAATTTCAAATCAAAAATTTTCTTTTTTCCAGATAGAAGAGTTGGGCTGTGTGAAGGTGATTGATGATGCTGACTTCTCTGCACTTGGATTCCCCAATACTGGACCATCTCTGAGAAAGTGCAGTAAGTTCCCTTTGGCTCTAATTCTACAGCCAACAAGAGAGCTGGCTATCCAGGTCAAGGATCACCTACAGGTGGCAGCAGCTTTCACTGATATTACAGTTGGTATATTTATTTAGATTTTTCATAAAATAAATGAAACAATTTTATGAATATACTTGCTTCACATACTTTAGAAGCACAAATTTTTGTGGGAGTAAATTTTCTTTGATTCGTCATATAAAAAGGTTTCATGAGCATTAAATTTTGTTGTTACAAATGTAACCCTACTCATTATATAGTCATATAAAATTTTTTGAGGGAATTAATTTAGTTGATAATTGTTAACAATGGAATTAAATCCCCAACAAATATTTCCGCTTTTACAGTATGTAATTTTTATGGAAAAGGTCAGATTTGTATGTACACCATACTAGAATTTCTCTCCAATACTGTACCACGAAATTTCAATGAACTATAAAAATGGAAGTTCATGTGTTTTATTATGTTGTCTGTAAGTCTTGTTAGTACATGAAGTTAGTTAATTTCACATTTTCTTTGAATTAGAATATTTGGAAATTAAAGAGAAATAGCTTTGTTTATATTAAAAGAAATTTCAAGGTTATTAAATTATATGCACTTATTTCTTGAGATTGCCCCAATTGTTGGTGGAATGTCAGCTGAGAAACAAAAAAGGATTTTAAAGAAGTGTCCAGATATATTGGTAGCCACACCTGGAAGGTTATGGGAACTTATGGAGCAGGTATACACCATATACCAGTACATTTATCTCATTTCATACTGGTAAATCTTTGTTGTGCAGATATATTTTGAAATTCCTGAAATATTTTGGGTAAAAGTGAGATAAAATTCACGAGAACTTTATTTTCGTGCTATTACATGAGATAGTCTGCTCGCAAAAATATCATTCTGGCATATACTTTTATCATTCAAGATAATATACAAAAAATAACAGAATTTGTGAAAATTTTGTCTCACTTATGAATACTTAATCCATTCTTGCAAAAAATAAGGTGTCACAAAAACTTTGTGATCTTCAGTATAAAGAATATTGATAGGGGGCTTATCTCTGAAATGTCAAATTTGTTTTATTAAAAAAGTACAAAAATTTAAGATTGTGAAAAAACTTCATTAACTTTGGCATTGAATGCTCATATATATATATATATATATATATACATGTAACAGTATCTGAATGCTACCTTTGAATGATAAATAGTGATAAATTCTGAGATTCTTGAATTACTTGTTGTTCAGTATATAGATTTTCGGTGAATGATTGATTTCTTTTGGAAGGATCCGTACTTGTCACACATTGATGAAGTGGACAGTTTAGTTATAGATGAAGCAGACAGAATGATAGAGAAGGGTCATTTTGAAGAACTGACTCAAATTCTGGCTTTCATTAACAGGTAAAGAACATCAACTGTAAATATATAACTAACAGAAAAACTCTTAATGTCCTTTGTTGCAGAATATATTAACATACCAAAATTTTCATTTTCATCTCATTATGGATTTGAATTTTGGACTTCATAAATTCATTGCATGTAAGGATGAACAAAAATCAAACATTGATGTAATTTGGGGTGAAAATATCTCCTTGGTTAATATTTGTAGAAATGAGAAGAAGAAACACAAGAGACAGACATTTGTATTTTCAGCCACATTGACCTTGGTGCATGCAGGTCCTCAACGTTCTGTCCGTAAGAAAATGACTCTCACGGAGGAAAAGAAACTAGGTTTGTGGAATTTTCCTCTTGATCATTTGATCTTTTATAGTTATAAGTCTTTTACTGTTGAATGACAATACTGTTGAATTCTTTTTTTTTTCTCCAGAAACCCTGATGAGCAAGATCCAAATGAGGGAGAAGCCAAAAGTGATAGACCTTACCAGGAAGATCGGAACTGTGGAGACACTGACAGAAGCCAGAATAAACTGTACTCTGGAGGAGAAGGTAACCCAACTAAAATACATAAATCTCACTTGTTGGTTTTGTAATGTGATAAGGCCATGGTTACCAAAATCAAAAATTTCTGTGAAACTATTTCCACAGGGCTCTCACACCAGTTTTTGGGACTGGGGCCAGGGCCGTGAAAATTGGGAAAATTAGCGACCTTTTGAGGAGATTTGGGAAAATCATAACTAGACAATATCCATTAAATTCATTATATATTGAGTTTCTGGTGGTTGTTATCAACTAAATTTCTGTTTTGTAATATAGAGAAATATGAATAACAAGTTTAGGAACTGCATATTTTACTAAATGTTCTTTAATATGTGGGGAAGTGACCAATTGGGAAAATTAAAACATTAAATTGGGAAAAAAGGTACCTTTTTTGAATTGGGAATGGGGCCTTTAAACGGCCCCAATTATAGAGAATCGAGAGCCCTGTTCCGAATGCTATTCCTTTTACAGTTTTATTCAGATTTCAATGAAACTGTACCGGTAGCGAAAATGCATTAATGCTTTGAAAATCTTCTTCTCTGCTCCTAGGTACTTAGTAGATAAACTAAGTGCATAATTATGATGAATAAGGATGTCTCTTCCGAAACTGTGAAATCCATGGCTTGGGTCAAGGGTTCTAGTGCTAGGGCAGGGGTATTAATCACGTTTTCAAGATGCATTAGTAAAATACTTTAAAAATCTTCTTTTCTGACTTTCAGTATAAGCAGAGAAATTAAATGCATGGTAATGATGAGCAAGGATGCCTCTTCCAAAATTGTGAAATTCAAAGCCCCAGGGTTAGGGGTTACCTGTGTTACTCTATAATCAGTAGAGTCTGGTGGAACTCTGTTGATTATATAGTGAAAGTACATTAATGATTAGAAAATCTTTGCACTTCTTGGCTTCTAGGAAGCAAACTGAGTACAAAGTTGTAATGAGCAATGGGTGGTTTTACCAGAATGGGGAAATTTGGATCACTGGATCAAGTGTTCTGGTGCTGGGCTGGGCTCTGTTGATCTTGCCAGGAAATTTATACTCTAGAGATATTGTTCCTTTTTGCTATTCACCTATGATATTTAATCACTGTAAATAATGTAACTGATAGATCAGTTGAATAAGAGAACTACACAAGGATTTTTAATGTATGATACAAAAAATACATAGTTTTCCATTGCCAGGTAGACTTGTAAATAATAGATGAATATTAATTAAATGAGACAAAAATACCTTATCTTTATACATTAAAGTGACAGCTGGGTGTGCATTAGCACTGGCTACTTGCCTGTGTTAGCCAGTGCTATTACACTTCCATATGTTTCTGAGTACTAAACTAATTTATTGATCCCTGATCATCCTACTTCTCTTGCTTTTTGGCAACATATCTAAATCTTTCAGATTATTTTATTTTATACTCCTATGAGTCCTTTTCAGTGTTGTATTATACTCAAGTGACCCTTAAGGCCTTTGGGCCTCTTTTTCTTTACAGGATCTGTATCTGTACTACTTTTTGACCCAGTACCCGGGTCGTACACTGATTTTTGCCAACAGTAAGGACTGTATTCGACGTCTTGTTTCCATCCTCACTCTCCTCAAAACAGATCCTTTACCTCTTCATGCTGATATGCATCAGAAGCAGAGACTAAAAAACTTGGAGAGATTTACTGGTAAGTTAAATATACAGATCAAAAAGGACAATATAAATTTAACTTCTCAAATACAAGAAAAGGAAAAACTTACACAATTGTGTGTTAATTTTGTGTCCTACATGTGTTCTTATTTCTCCATAAATTTACTCAAAATGTAAAACCTTCTGTTTGTCTTCTAAGCAATTTGCAGGTCAGTTTAAGACATTCTTTTTTTAATTGTAGCCAATGACAATGCTGTACTGTTGGCATCTGATGTTGCTGCCAGAGGTTTGGACATTCCTAATGTAGAACATGTGATCCACTACCAGGTTCCACAGACAGTAGAGGTGAGGATCTAACATTTCTCTCTATTCATGTCTCCTGTATACATGAGGAAATAATGCATACTTTTACATTAATTATTGTTATTTCAGTTAGTAAATTAATATTAAGTATGAGAGGGCCAACAGATCGGATACTAATCCATAACTGTATTTTCTGAATTGTTTTCAAAGATTCATTTCTCATATAGACTCTATTCTCTCTTCTAGTATACTTGGGTTTTCATTCTTAAGTACCTTTTCTTTGGAAATGAATTTCACAGATAACTAAATCTATCTAAATGTTGAAAAATTTGAAGTATTTTTTTTTACTAGCAAGTCTGAAGTTTATCCCTTGGACAATTTTTAATGTTATTATGTACAATAATAAATTTAAAGTTTTGACCAGAAAAACAATTTTTACAATATGCTAAAAATTAAAGTGGACAATATTGGAAACAAAATGGAAGACTAGTCTGAAAATAGTCTCTGGAAATTGTGTTAAAGATATTGCATTATTGATTATGATGATTATGCTTGTATAAGAGTGCCTCAAAGTTTTCATCATTTTGACAGATTTAGTTATCTGTAACATTCATTTTCTCTTTAGCTTTTAAACTGGAAGTTTTACTATACCTGCACTAATGAAAAGATAACTTGTGCTAAGAATGATAACTCCAGTTTAAGAGACGAGAGGATAGCAAAGCAGTGCTGTTTATCAATTTTGATGCAAATTCCAAAAAAAACTCTGTGAGCCAATGCTCAATAGTAATACTCCCACTCTTATGTGAATATACACTCTCATGAATCCCACTATATGGCATGCCTAAACAAAGAGTGTGCTAAAATTTCAAACATCTGCTTTGAGTAGTTTCTGAGAAAACTGTGACGGAATTTTTGTACAAACAGACGCATGGATAAACAGGAAGTTGACATTAGATTAATAAAAAAATGAATCCCACCATATGGTATGCCTAGACAAACAGTATGCTAAAATTTTAAGCATCTGCGATGAGTAGTTGCTGAGAAAACTGCGACAAAAATTTGGTATGGACAGACACACAGATAAACAGGAAGTTGACATCGGATTTGTACAGAAATGAATCCCACCATATGGCATGCCTAGACAAAAACTGTGATAAAATTTCAAGCATCTGCGATGAGTAGTTGCTGAGAAAACTGACAAAAATTTGCTGCAAACAGACAGACAGACAGACAAACACACAAAGGCAAAACAGTATACCCCCCTCTCCTTTGGAGTGGGGGTATAAAAATGTTACAAGAATTACTGTTTTTAAACACTATACATTAAATTTTAGTGTCAGTTTAAAGTCCAAGGACACACTTGACTTGATAGATGTGAAAGTGATGTGACTTGCAATTCAAGTTAGAAACAATACAGCTATATTTAATTTAGACCTTGCCTTGTTCATTTTCAAAGCAATTACTTTGGTAAGCTTTTACCCTTTTGTTTTGCCCTACAGTTATATCACTTGAAAATTATGTTTTTCAGAATTATGTCCATAGAAGTGGAAGAACAGCCCGGGCCATGAAGGAAGGCCTGAGTGTCATGCTTATTTCACCAGAAGATGTGAAAAATTACAGGAAGATTACTCACACCCTAAATAGAAGTAAGATACAGTGATTCATAATAAAATTTAAATAAAAATTTGTTAAGGTGTGCAGAACCTCTTTTTGTAGAAACTGGAAGCACAAAAATAGTAAATAATATATCACTACTGCTGCTGCAAATTTTCTACTTGATACCAGAGCCCAATCTAACAAAAAAAAAAACTTATAAAGACCAAAATGTACTTTAACACTTTACTAGTAGTTTTTTCTTTTTCTGAATTTAGCATATATTAAGACAATTCAGTAATATATGTTTTTACAAGAACAGATGACCTGTTGTTATCTTTTTTCATCCATCTTTGTGTGCTGGTCCTAAACTTTTGAAAATTTTCAGCTTCCCTTCTGGAACCTCAAGAACCAATTTTGGCATATAGCAACTATGAGTGGAGAACAAAATTTGTGAATTTCATGGTCCCTGTTCCCCTAGGGTCTGAGGATTGGGGTTTTAACCACAAAAATTAATGTAATGTTAAAAAATCTTCTTCGTTACTTGTGGACATCAAGCAGTCAAACTGTTGGCATGATTGTAATTAGAACCAAGTTTTGTACTAAAATTTCGAAATTCATGGCCCCAGGGTCAGGAATTCTTGTATTAGGTTTGGGCTCTATAGATCAGATAGTCAAAATGCATTAATTCTTCAAAAACCTTCTTCTCTCCCCTGTATATTTAATTATTTATCAGACAAACAGAGTCATTTGTTTCTTTAAGGTAGGACTTATGTACAGCAAACAATGATATACAAATCTGTGCATCATAATGGTGTAATATTTTCATTCAGGGGCTTGAAAAGGATGAACTTTTAATTAGACTAGAGAAATTGAATTTGTAGAGTTCTATGTAACAAAGCATTTCAGACATCCTTGGTTTTCTACTGTATATCACTCTAAGCATATTGTTTCACTTTTTTTTTGTTTTTTTTTTTTTTGTTTTTCATAGGTGAAGATCTTCCAGTATTTCCTGTGGAATACCAACTTCTATCAGCTTTGAAGAAAAGACTGAACTTGGCAAAAAGAATTGATGTAGAAGAGCATCGGTAAGATTGGTCCTTTCTTTCTTACTTTGCAGTTTTCATTTTAATATTTTTCCAAATGACATTTAAAAGAAAAAAGCTCATACATGAGGTACATGATACATCCATTTAAGACACAAAGATCCATCAGAATTAGCCTTACCTTTAATGTCTTGCAAAAACATTTACAGTAAAACTCGGTTATAACGAAGTCACTGGGACCTGTGAAATTACCGGTACTTCGCTATATCCGTAATTTGTTATATCCGTATAAGAAATTCTTTAAATTTATATAGCTGGGGATCCAAGAAAAATTCGCTTTATCCGTGAATTCACTATATCCGTGTTCGTACTAAACGAGTTATACTGTAAAGGATAAAACTTCTGTGTCTTATTAATTCAAATACTCATGTATGCTGTCAATTTATTCAAATCTCAAAGCATTTGTTATTATCATATTTTGATGTTTGAAAAAGTATGGCATTTTATTAAAAAAAAAATGAATAAAGATAATGATTGTTAGTCAGATATTTAAAATATAAAATATTTTGTAGGTTTAACAAGAAAAAGAGACAGAATGAATGGTTTGAGAAGGCAGCTAAGGAGATGGACATGTTGATAGATGATGAGGAACTGTATCCTTTCATGTCATTTATAATTCTCTTAAAACTATTAATTATTATTAAATAGATTTCTCAAGTAAAACAATAAACTTTTGAAGTACAAATTTTAATGTTGGAGAGAATAGTTCTCGGAAAGCATTAAATTATGCCATAGTCAAACATAAAAATCTCAATCAATGGAGACAGTTTATAAAAAAATATCCTAGAGCTTGCAATAATAAAGTTGAAACTCTAATTCATTAAGTGTTGGGACCACAGATTCACTTTGTTACATCCCTTGTACTGGACACATAAGTTCCAGGTATAATAAATGTACACAAGTATATGGCCGATATATAGAATAGTGTAGAAGATATAGTTATATGCTCGTGACCCCTCAATATTAACGTCCGATGACCTTTTTTTTTTGCATGTCAAGGAATTTTTGATAGTGCACCCCAACTGAAAAATATTTTATTGTGCCCTCTGACCTCCCACCCCCAACTGAAATTGCTTCCTACGGGCCTGAAGTATAGTACACACAAAAAGTTTTTTGCTGACACAGTTCATTTTTTCAATTCGTGGAAAGCTTTAAGTTTCAATATTATTAATTAACTATGATTCCTTCTGGTTTAATCCAATTTAAGCCTGTCATAAAGAAAGAGGGTAAAGTGTTACTTCTAGTCCACATTAGAATGCCTTGACCTTTGATAAGTTTAAGTGACCTTGGAGACTCATTTGAACAGTCAGGAAGAAAACAGGACTTGAAAAGCATGAAAACTGAACTGGATCAGATGTTAAAACAGAGACTGGCACCTCAGGCATTCACCGGAAAATATCTCACTCAATCAGGAAAACTAGACATATCTGCTGATGAAGGTAACACGTTGTATTCTTTGAAGATAAGAATTTCATCACATAAAAAAAAAAAATGATGGAATTGATTTATTGCTTTTAAAATAAATGAAGGGAATGAATATAACAATTGCATGTATTTCTTGCATCTATTTGAGAATCTGTGTATTGTTGGAATTTCTATAGTGGGTGAGTTATCCATACATTAAGTGCAAATTTCACAGAGTAAGATATGCAGAATCTTTGAATTTTGGTGGCATCACAGCTGGAATGTTTTAATGCATGTAAAAATTACAAGTCATAAAACGATCATCATTGTTGATTCTTTTCTTTCAGAGAAGAAAGATGCTCTAAAAGTTGTCAAAAAAGACCGGAAATTACAGCATAAACTTCTGGAATCCATCCCTAGCAGTCAGAAACGTCATGTCAAAAAGAAATCAAAATGGAAAAAGAAAAAGTAAATTGATATGTTTTATTTATCTCAATACTTGTTCTGTTGTTGATCATTTCCCAAACAGATGCCAATGAACTGCTATCCTGGAAATGAAAAAAAAAAAAAACTTGATTATGAGTTTGCAGCATTTTAATTCCAACTGTTCTCTGAAATACTGGGAGTATTTTGTATTGGATAGAAATTACAGAGAAATATCTCCTGACAAAATGTGTTCACTCGTGATGATAAGGCCTGGTGAAACCTTTTTCTGTTAATAAATGTTTTACACCTGTGTCTGTCATATTTATGAATGTGAAAAAATACCTTATGTTATTGTTCTTTACCAAAGGCTTATAAATCTTTATCAAGCAGGTATGGATAAATTGATAAAAATGTACGATTTTCAGGAAAGTTGAAAAACATTCCTTAAATCATTATCGTTATTCTGGTAAAATACAGTCTCTATTTTTATTAATGTCGAATTTTGTTTTCATTTGTTTTTATTTCGCGATTTATTTTCTTGCTGTGGCCTTCAATTCAACATAAGCTATATCTACGACGTTTTATCAAATAACAATATTCATTTTAATGCCTATGTTGATTCTATAAATCTCTTTGAACTCGAAATAAAAGATACCACAGAGTCTGACACATCTGTTTCATATTTAGATATTTTATCAGAAAAAGACGTTAATGGTAACCAAACAGCAAAACTATATGATAAACGTGATAACCAACTGTTCTACCGTCTACTTCCCTTATTTATGTAGTATAAATATACCCTAATCACCTGCATATGGAGTTTATGCTTCCAAGTTGATTCGAAATGCAAGAGCATGTACTACATACGAGCAATTTTTAAAACGAGGTAAGCTTTTGACAAATAAGTTGATGCAAAAAAATATCAACAGTCTCGTTTAAAGTCAACATTACGCAAATTCTATGGTCAATACAATAACATTGTCAACTAATACAATCTATCATTAAGTTGAATGCTGACTGACGTTTTTCACACAAATTGTTAAGCCATTATTTTTACACTGAATTGTCTACGGATTTTTCCGTTTTCCCGATCATAACAAGGAGCACACGGCGAATGTGACCGGTCGACATGGGATATTTTCTCCTCCATGGCACTTGATCCCACCTGTTTTTAGAAGTCTGTGTTTGCTTTGCTCCAAATTTGTGTTGTTTCAGTGGACTTTTGAGTTTATCTTCATATTTCATTGAATACCTTGAAATAAGTTTGATTCGATCTCTTAACATAAATTTTCAAAAAAATGCCTGAGATTTATTATAATTTCAAACTTCAACAAACCCAGAACTCCAGGAATCCCCGAGAAATCAGCTTGGAGTTGATGTAAAATATTGGAGGGAGCGTTCACAGCATACAGGGCATAGTTCATCCTGCAGTTGATGATGCCGTGAATAAGTTCCATTGGAACATAATTGTCCACCCCTCTGTCATAAACATAGGTTACCCAGTTCAGAATAGTGGGCGGGTGAGTGGTGGTTATCGAGACTTGGCGGTAGGTTCGGAAGGAAAAGTAATTATCGCGGACATAACTGAAAATATAACATTTTGGATACAGAAAAGGCCTCTCTCCTACATGTATAAAAAAAAGAACAAATTTCTTGTTTTGAAACAAATTAACTAGTTCTCAAATTATTACATTCGAATTGCAGCATTATGTTATGTATAATCAACATCAGGATGTACTTTATTATAATGAGAGAAATTTCCATCGGTACATATAACCGGATTCCGCATCTTCGGTACTCCATCTAAGGTTAGATGCAGGTGACGGAATCAGTCGAGGTTTGTGAACGCTTATCAGTGGATAAATTGAAAATCTTTTCATTATACAAAAGCAAAGTTTACATTTGTATTTGAAAATATAATTATCTTTTACATAATCTGATTAACACTTGGCCAAACAATGTTAATTCTATTAATAATGTGTCTTAACCCCTCCTAATTTTTTTTTCTCGCCTGCCATTTTCTCCCATGCTCTAGTCCTCTCCCCATATCCTCTCCAACTTCCATCGTACCCTGTCCTCCCCTCCCAAATTTTTGATGAAATACTGTATATTTACTGTAAAGAAAATTGATATATTCCTTCACTTTATAGCCATGCAGGCCCATGACATTTTACTTCTCGAGCATTAAAATGAGACCAGGAAAATTGTATCGGCAGCAATTGTGCAGGTTCCTCTCTCTCGTTTAGTATTGTCTACGACTTACTGTACAAGATAGGGACAGCCTTGACTCACGACATACGACAACGCCCCTCTCAGGTTCACGACGTGTTGCTGTCTATTCGGAATTCCTCCTATAATGCACTGGCTCAAACCCAACAGAACTACAAAACAGCGCAGGTTCTCTGTCATTGTTCGTCGCGATTAAATCTTATCGGTCTTTGATGACACGATAAACCCATATGATATCTTTCCTTGAATTTTCCGGGTTCCTTTATGTTCTTATCTGAATCATCCATTACAGAACATTTACGATAAAACTTTTTTTACGATAAAAAATATGAAATGTGAAAATATATATACACTTTTTCCAGCGATGTTCTTAAAAAATATCTGTGCCACTTGATTGCAGATTTAGTCTGGTGTTGTCTTCCGTGGAGGTGATGCTTGACACGCTTATGTTAAATTAGAAATGAAAGTTTTACAACAGAGTAAGCAAAATAAGCAAGCTGGTTAAATGAACTTGCACACTTGATTTTCTAAGATAAGAATGAACAGATTCGATGTTAATTTGGAATTTGGATCACAAAATTGTCCATTTTCTTTGAAATGATTTTAACAACTTTGGTGGTCCTTGCGATCTTACGAAGACTTTCCCTTTATACTCTAATGAAATGGTCTTGCCAATTTCAATCTTATTTGTCAGATATCAAGTTAACTATCCAGAGTTCTGATTAAAGTGTGTTTTACGAGTCAAAACAGCAAGAACATATTAATAGCTTGCTGGTTTTTCTTGATCAGCACTTCAGAAAAGAGATGTTGCTGTATTTGTAATGAGTGATATTAGGAAATATAATAATATAGGTCTGGATTGTAAGATCAGCTTGCCCCGGTGAGGTTATGCCACTTTCATTTATGATATACAGCGTCAGTAATGAAAATTTCTCTCGGACAAATTGGCGTCCATGGTAATTGTTCGCGTTCACATTGGGGATTCTGCACTGTTCTGCTATGTTTGTATACATAAACATGTGTGCGAATGTTTGATAACGAATCCGAAGTATTTTTACGATATTAAAATTTTGAAGATTTGACAGAATTGAGGATTGTGCATCATGGTTCATTTGGATAATGGTTCCCAATGTTATTCGGAGAATTACGCCGCGAAAATTATTGCAAAAAGTGATTGTTATAATTTTTGGTTTATTGTTGTTTATCTTTGGAATACATGTATTTGTAACCGAAAGGGAACCCCAAGAAAACACAAAAATTAAAGAGAATGAAAGATTCGCTAATTTCGGAATGAAGTCGAAATATCGTCTTTTGCACGAAAATCAACCAATACGGAATGACGATGACATCATTTATCTTGATGATGAACTAAACAATGTCGTGGAGGACAACAAATTGCAAGAAGTGACGTCACGCCCAATGAAAAGATTACCAGATGCGTTAATTATAGGTGTCAAGAAGTCCGGTACAAAAACAATGCTAGAATTTCTCAAAATACACCCAGATGTTTGTGCGCCTGGGAACGAAGTACATTATTTTACAAGAAATTACCATAAAGGATTGGAATGGTATAGGTAAGACATTGTCAGATTAGACATACTGTAATTAGATTGACCATTAGTTTGCTCGATATGTGGATTACATTGATTATAAATGCATAGCTAGTGAATCTTGTGCAAGATTCAAGGTCATTTTTCAAAGTCAAGGGTATAATTGTAAAAGTTACAATGGGTCAAAGATTTTGTCTGACCAGTATCTCCAAAGCCAAAAGGGAGCTATATGAACTTGATTCTCAAACTATTTGAATTGTCTCGACTATAGTCAAAATTTTTTACTGAATTAACTTTTGTGTAATGTTTACTCGAGGAAACCACAAAAGAGATTATATATTATCATCGTTGTTGATTAGGATTTTATTAGACCTATTTATCACAAAAGAGAATTTATGTGAAACCAAGTACTAGTAATCCTGAAATTATTCTTATTTGGATTTGTGTAATGATCAGTTTATTTAAAGTCATAATTCCAAGGTGTAGCCATTGTTACAGCTGAGTTTAACCTTTTAACACACAAGGCTTAGTCTAAAATACGATTCTCTGTTTAATAGTTATAATTTTATTTCAGGATTTTTTCTGGTGTGGTGTTAATGTATAATTATATTATACATGTACTTTTATGTAAATTAGTTTAATTTGATTTCGAGAAACCTTTGTTAAATGAAAGCACTATCACCATTTTAATGAAGAAACCACGCCCTCCAGCGTACTAGAACGTAGTGACAGTCAACATTGCTTGATCTGTGATATTCCAAAAAATGTTGACTGGGCAGAAATTATGCGTGCACGGTTCACTGTCATATGTAAAACAGAGAGAAATTATAATAAATATTGCATGTAATATAATGGTGGAGAAACGGTGGTACCAGTCATTTCCGTCATTTTTCAATGACAAACTTAATACATTGAATGGACGTTGTCATCAGGAATTACTTACACATGTAGATGTATCACGAACAGAGAAAACATTTAATTTTTGTTTTTCCATTTTGAATATAAAGCAAATAAGTGCACCATCATTCTCGAAGCTTAATTAAAGTAAAATTTCGAATACACCATGTAAAACCGACAGATTTTTGTAATTAAATTCAGAGATTATTTTTGAACAATTTAAAATGAGTAACAGATACCGATATACTATATTCTTCATGTTCAATATTGTAAGGCAAGTCTTTTCTTGTCCTACTGTAGTCTATAATTCTGCATAAAAAGCCTTATATTTAAGATGTAGTTGAACCTTTCTTTCAGACGACAGATGCCGGTTTCTGTAGAGAATCAAGTTACGGTAGAGAGAACCCGTGCCTACTTTGTACACGGAGAGGTTCCCCACAGAGTGTATCGTCGGATCCCGAACATTCGTTTTATCGTGGTGGTTCGAAACCCAGTACTACGAACTCTGCTAGATTATATCTCACAATGTGAAAGAAATAAAAGCAAATTGTCTTTCAAGGAGGCCTTCTTTTGGAACAATGATACCGGTTTCCTGGATATTTCACGTGATTTTATTCAGACGAGCATATATGTGAAGTTTTTGGATAATTGGTTAAAATATTTCAAGCTGGACCAAATTCATTTTGTTAACGGTGATAAACTTTATAAGAATCCTTTGCGGGAGTTGAAAAAAGTTGAAGACTTTTTAAGTCTAAGGAATTTGATCTCATCGGAACATTTCTATTATAATACGTCACGTGATACTTTATGCATTAAGAAACGCGAATGTCAAGGACGTCCTCATTGTTTTTCGGACAGCAAGTTAAAAATTCCCCCGCCAGTATACTTGATGAAACGTTTGCAGGACTTCTTCGACCCATTTAACGAGAAATTTTATGAGAAATCAAAACAACATTTCAATTGGAATGCTTAGTTGAGATTTTCGATTGTTTTCTTTTCTACGGTTAAAAGGCAGTTTGAATATTTACATTTGTTTAATTTAGATTTGTGAAAATAAATCACAAAATCATGTTCCTGCTGTGAATCATTTTAAGACAATTGAAGGAGGATGGTTCTAGATAAAATATTATCAGGTTACACATTAGAAGACGTTACAACCTTTTTATCTGAAACTTGGCATAAATATCAAACGGGTTTAAGGGTAACTTATGACACGCTTGTTCTCTGACAGGAAGCTATATCTGATTTTGGCAGTGGTAATGACAAGGAAGCTCTGCCCTTTTGATATTGGTTGCTGTAACATCTTACTCCGTAGATCATTAACAGTCTAACATACTCAGCACTTCACCTTTGATGTTTACAAAAGCAGTATACTAGGTATCATAATCCTTCTCATATGGATGATTTCCGTGTTTCTTAATTTGTCAAGTTTTTGCATTGTTTGAAGCTATGCACATATGTTTTTTGTTTTTTTTTTCTTTTTATGAAATACACTTTAGGGTATTTTTCGCACAGTGCTTTCGTAAAATTCAGCATATTGAGTATAAGGCCCAGGGGTTTTATTTGTTCTGAAATTGAAGTAATCTCTCTTGTCCCGTAAGAAGTGGCGCTAGTTCTTGTATCTCTTGCATTTAATTAGTACTTTTATACATTGCTCATTCGAGAATCATTGTAAGTGCTCACGCAATTGTGTTTTAAAACTCGGATTAGCTGAATAGGATCGATATTTTTTAGTACACGCTGTGCTAACTCTAATCAATCATGACTTACAGAAAGGTTAATTATCTCCCCTGATACACATTTCAAACACTTAATTATTCAGGAAGTATTCAATGTATGTCTCGATTTGGAAATTCCATTGTATAATGTATGTTTCAACTTGGGAGTATATGGCTAATAGGAAGAGTGGACTTGATCTATACATAATAATTTCAAAAGCACCTTTGGGAGGGACACAATCCGACAGTTATACATATTATCAATCCAGTAGCCAACACATTAAATATATCCGTGTGGTAAAGATTCAATTAATTTCAATATATTACATAGGTTGGATATAATCTAAGAAGAAACACATGGTTCACTTAGGAACCCGAGACAACCCGTCCATAAAGAAGAGAAAAGTAATCAAATAATCAGAGCATGCGTGTTTAGTATTAACTAGGCAAAAATATTTTCCTAGGTGAAAAAATAATCACGATAAACCATTAATAAATGTCATACAAACACTCGTCTGAAAATGACCTTGGACATGCTGGATTCTCCAATCAAAACTGACTTTGTCATAGCTTATTTCGCGTTGGTTTCCTTGACTTTACTTCAAAGCCGTGTTTATAGAAGGTGCATATTGGTTTCCATTTTTGCTGAGAACTCTACAAAATCCTAGTATATTCCAAGATTGTTTTTAGAGATGGGGGGGGGGGGGGTCTTAAATTTGGAAGACGGGGTATATTGTTTCTACTTTCGTCTCTTTTGTCTGTTAAGCTTTTTCTAATGAATGACTTGGTAAGGATTGAATACGATGAAATATGGAGATAACGAACAGTATTCAAGCTCAAAGTCCATTAAAATAATACAAATTGGGAGCAGAGCAAATGCAGACCTCCAAAAAACAATAGAGGTGGGATCAGGTGCCATGGAGGAGTGAGCATCCCCTGCCGACCGATCACACCCGCCGTGTGTTCCTTTTCATGATCGGGAAATAACGGAAAAATCCGTCGACAATTTAGTGTGTAAATAAAAGCCTAACAATTAGTATGAAAAACGTCAGTCAGCATTTGAATTAATGATAAATTGTATTTTCTGACAAGGTCATTGTATCGACCATAGAACTAACGAAATGATGACTTTAAACGAGACTGTTGATATTCTTGTTTCATCAACTTCTTTGTCAATAACTTACCTCGTTTTAGAAATTTTTCATACGTAGAGCATGCTCTTGCGTATCGAATCAACTGAGAGATACACACCCCATATGCAGGTGATAAGGGTATATTACCGCACAAGTAAGGGAAGCTGACGATTGGAAAGTTGAAGTCATCACGTTTATCATAAAGCTTTGTTGTTAGATTACCTTTAACGTCTTTTACTAGTAAAATATCCAAATATGAAAGATATGTCAGACACTGTGGTATCTTTCATTTCAAGCTCACTGAGATATATCGTGCCGACATATGAATGGAAATAACTATTGTTAATTGATAATACATCGTAAATAATATGTACCTTGACTCATATTCAGCAGTTTGTCGTCTGCTCCTTTAGACCGACATTGTATACAGAGTCTGGACAAGATACCGGTATAATATAGGAAAAAAATACATAATATGATTGAGGAATGAATATGACAAAATAAATGATGATATTGTTCATTCCGTCGTTTTCATTTCTCCTATGATCCATTTTATGGTTAAACAAGATGTGTTTGTGAAACACTGATGCCCCCGAATGGCAACTTATAGCGAAGGTTAAACTTTCTCAAATGCAAATCAAATAGGTTGGTACCCAAAGTAAGGTCTTGTCCTGAGGAATATACCTGTGAAATATGAAAGTCCTAGCAGCAACTATTGAAAAGATATGGAAAAGGTTAAAATTTTTCAAAAGTAAGTCAAACATCAAGGTCAAGGTCAAAATTAATGGTGCCCAAGGAAAGGCCTTCTCACAAGAAATACACACGTGAAATATGAAAGCCCTAGCATCAACCATTCAAAAGATATGGCCAAGGTTGAAGTTTTTCAAAAGTAAGTCAAACTCCAAGGTAAAGGTTAAAGGGTCAAAGTAGTTGGTATCCAAAGGAAAGTCTTGTCACAAGGATTACATATGTGAAGTATGAAAGCTCTTGCACCAACTGCTCAAAAGTAATGGCCAAGGTTAAAGTTTTCAAAAAGTAGGTCAAACTCCAAGGTCAATGGGCTAAAATTATTGGTATCTTAAGGAAGGTCTTGTCACAAGTAATGCATATGTGAAGAATGAAAGCCCTATCAACAACTGTTCAAAAGTTATGGCCAAGGTTAAAGTTTTCCAAAAGTAGGTCAAACTCCAAGGTCGAGGTCAAACGGTCAGAGTTGTTGGTATCCAAAGGAAGGTCTTGTCACAAGGATTACACTTGTGAAGAATGAAAGCCCTAGCACCAATTATTCAAAAGTTATGGCCAAGGTTAAAGTTGGGTAAAATTTTGTAAAACTGGATCAAGCTCCAAGGTCGAGGTCAAAATGTCAAATATGATGGTACCCAAAGAAAGGAATACACATGTGAAATATGAAAGCTTCAACCAATCATTTGTTTTGAGCAATGTTAAAGTTTTTGCGGACAAACAGATAGACAGACAGCTAGACGGACAGATGGACGGACAGGGCAAAAACTATATAACTATATATATAACTACATAAAAAAGTCATTCAAAGAAGCCGAATGGAAAGTGGTAAAATTCAAAAATTCCAAATTTATTGGATATACTTAACTGCATTGGTGATAAAAAATTATTTTGGTATTATGTATTAACTATATAAAGGAAACGAGTATAACCGACATGAATCCAACACACAGCTTACATTTATCTGTTTTGAATGATTATGATTTAAAATGTTCGGCACATAATCAATTACCTACAAACCTCTAAACGTTGGAAGTGTATAGAATTCAATGATATCATTTCATCTGTTTTAACGCTAATTATAATCCCGTGAGAGATATCATTGATGGTTCTGTTAGAGATTTTTTTTCAAGGTGATCAGGTTTCAAAAACCTTAAACATGACATTCAAAAGATAGATAGGTTTCATTTCCCCTATTAAAATGAATAACATTATATTTGGACGTTTGTCAGACAGAAATTTAAGTAAAATTGATTCCATGTGTAATTGAAAATATGAAATTCTATCGTTCTATGAATAGGTCAAAGGTGAGATAAACATAATGTATTTCTACGTATAGTAATGCAGTAGACATGTAAAAAGAGCACACTTTTGTGGAACCAAATGCTTTGCTTGCAACAGAATGCCATCAGTGCTGAAATTGGAAGATTTTTATATCTTTCGAATGCTAGCCTAATCAACCAACTTATAAATTTCATGAAATCAGAGTCCAGTTTTCAGCTTCTGTGAGATTTGGCTTGGACAAAACAGTTCTCTCTGATGATGGCCTTGACCTCGTTTACATATATTGAGATTTATCATTTATTTATATGTCCCAAATCATCTCAAAAGTCCAAGGTAATCAGATAAAAGTTTAGTCCTGGTAAAGGCTTGTATTCAGTATAACATGAGCCTATACCTGACAGGCCTCTTGTGAATACCTGGTATGTCCTGAATGCGACCAAAGGTTACCGTCTTTGGACAAGCTCAAGCTCCTGGGAATAGATTTCAGAAAATTTTGTGTTTTGCAAAAAAAAAAAAAATTGCATAAAGAAAAAGAAGCCCAGTTATCAACAACACAAGGTCACATGAATTTGAGACAATGTCTTTAGGCCAAGTCGATATTACTTGAAAAAAAAGATTGAAATTCAAGTTACCTTGATCTGGGTGTCAGAATCGAAGATTGAGAATTTTGGTGGTATTTATGAACGTCAGAATAATCTGGACAATGAATCAATAAATACATAACATGCATTTTATAATTGTTTCTCTCGACCTGGATGAACGTGGAGGCTTGTTTACAAACAAAAAAACTTCTAGATACTAAGAAATTCAACTTTTCCTTATTTCAGCCGTTACTTATTAATTAAATATACGTACGATCAAAGAAAAGTTTAAGTACAATCTTCACAGCTTTATTATAAGATGACTTTATACTATTTAATCAGTAGATGACAGAGAGAGCAAAACTCAAGTACATTACATCAGTAGATAGACGTCCATAGACATGAATGATAAAAATGTGCTGTTTGATTTTTATCAAAGAAACTTTATTGTTATGGTAAATAACCAGCTAATGCACCTGTCTTAAGTGGCTTAAAGCTCAATATTGTCTCGGCACGATTTTCGAATGAATAAGAAAGATGAGAAATTTAG